GGGGCGAAAAGGGGGTTAACTACTTTTCTGCCAAAATTTAAACAGCAGCTGCTTTGCTAAAAGCTGTGTGGTGTAGACACAGCCTCATAAAAGACTTCATTACTGTTACAAAACATTTGCTGTTCCATGGAAAAAATTCATAGCCATTAAGGTTGTATAATGAAACCTTTCCAAGGCAGAAGGTAGAAAAGTGAAGGCAATGAACAATTACATAAAGATTACAAAGGTGGGCTGAAATGTCCAGAAGCTGCTTAAGATTTCCAATCACTAATTGAGTTTGTTTAGACTTCAGAAACAACAACAAAACCACTAGATAAGTCAGTACAGTAGAACCTCAGCATAATGAGCACCAGAGTTAGGAACTGATCTGTTAACCACCCATCTCATTCGGAATGGAAGTACAAATCAGACAGCAGCAGAGAAAAGAAAAAAGAAAAGGGGGGGGGGAGTAAATACAGTATAGTACTGTATTAAAGGTAAACTACTAAAAATGGGACACTTTAAAAAATATTTGACAAGGTAAGGAAACTATTTCTGTGCTTGCTTAATTTAAATTAAGATGGTTAACAGCAGCATTTTTCTTCTGCATAATAAAGTTTCAAAGCTGTATTAAGTCAATGTTCATTTGTAAACTTTTGAAAGAACCACCATAAAGTTTCATTCGGAGTTAGGAACAACCTCCATTCTCCAGGTGTTCATAACTCTGAGGTTCTACCAGTTCTTTTACTTACTTGCTAATACCGGAGTTTTGAGCTTTGTGTTCTCTCAGAAGAGTTAGACACACCATTTGCAGGCAGAAGACATGCAGCTGCTGTCTCTGTATTTGGTGTTGGGGAAGCTGCTAATTGTTGCAATGAAATACAAAATCCTAAATGCCTGAACTTGGCTTAGTAGGTGGCTAGCCTTTTTGTTCACCTTTTATTATAGCCAAGAATTGTGCCAAGTTAATGAGGTGGGACGTTTAATTGCCTTATTTGAGAGGTCACATTTTTCACCAATGCTGCTCTCAAAATCAGATGTTCAAGAATTAAGATCACTATAGTTCTATAACAAATAAATCCGTGACCTAGGAGGTGAAAGGCTGCTACCTCATTATCAAGCCTCTGAACTATATAATCCTCCACTAGCTCTCTTCATAGCACACAATATACTTTAAACAATTTTTCTAATTTGAAAAAAAACCCCAAAACCTCTACTTAACAACTAGCATTTAAAACAAAGCTCAGATAATCCTCCTCTGAGGCATTCTGATGTGGCAGTTCTGGTCTCTACCAGCAATGAAAACAGACAGATCTGGATTACTATATTCCAGTGCAGCTACCAGTCAGAGCCAGAAGTCCCATGTACTTTAGGAACAGAAGTTTCCTTCTGATACAATACCCCTAAAATGTGTAATTGTATCACATTTATTACAATTAGCATTTAGCTAACATTATACAGGCACACAACTCAATATATAAACTTCCTATATGTCAATCAGATTCCAGATAATTAGGAATATTAAAGAACGAGTACAATCTATATAGTCCATTATCCAAACTGTTCTTTCCCACAAATATCAGGGCAACATAACCCACTTTCAGCAAATGGGGGCTTTCAAATCAAGGCTTTCAAATCAGAGGTTTGGATAAATGAGGTTCTACTGTAGGTGAGATGTTCCCTTGTGCAGTTAAGATGATCTGTGGCCATCAGGAACCAGTCTCTAGGGCCAGATTTTAAAAGGTGTTTAGGCACCTAAAGATGCAGATGGTACCTGTGGGAGTTATCTGCCAAAATTCTGCATCTTTAGGCACCTAACTTCCTTTAAAAAATTTGGTCCTAAATCAATTAAAAAAGCTTTGTTTTTATTTCAGCTTTCCCCAGTCAGGGTGTGAAACCTGAGATGGCAGATGTTCAGTGAGTCAGTTCTAATGGCTTGGAACTACAAAATCCTTTTACTGCTAAAGTAACTAACTCTTTATTTATAAACAAGTTTAATGTAAAATCAACCTGAACTGTTGAAATACAAAACACACAATGCTTCAGAACAAAGAGGAAGCTGGCAGAATAGGCATCTTCAAACTGTGGCCTGCATTAAATCCAGTAGTGACACAGGACAAAACTGTACCCAGACGCTGTCTGGCTGCAAGGAGCCACCTCTAGCGTCTGCAGTATCGGTTATGGGGTCAGTGTTAGTCCTTGTATACTTAAACTGAGATTTTGTGAGCTACCTGGAAATTTTAGACACCCAAATTCTATTAATGAAAATCCCTAGGTAGTGTTGAACATCTCAGCTTTGAAGTGGAAAGACTTTATAGGGCTGGTGTCACTATCTTCTCCATTGGGGATAGGGTGAAGAGCCATGGTCCCATACTGGTCAGCAGAGGCAGCCAGGGACAGTGGGTACTACACCTTCATCTGGGGTGCCACAGTAGTTATGCCCCTCAGGGAACTCATGGAAGCATTGTGGCTACTGAAGGTACAGTGCTTTCCAGAGCTCTTGCCAGGGTGGCTGGATATCTGCACCTCCCTCATCAAGAAGCTATGTCTACATGCCACAATCCAGTTCAGAGACTCTTCCAATGTATGCAGCCAGCATTGCAAAGCTACTGGGAAGAGCTTCTATGTAAAAAACAAAAAACAAACAAACAAACAAAACAAAAAAACCAACAACAACAAAAAACTGGAGCTGAGCCCTTCTTGGGCAGATTAAATTAAAACTTCAGTGAAATTCCCTGAAAGGGGAAGATTAAACTGTTTAACTTAAACTAAATGGTTTGATCAGGCATGTGGAAGACTCTAAACAGACACCACAACAATGTTGCAGGGAAGGTAATAATCCTAGCACAAGTGTGTGTGTGTGAGTGTGTGTGGGGGGAAGTGTGGTGATGGAGGATCTCAAGTGAAAATTCCTACCTTAGTTCTTGAGTTGGAATCTTTTGGAGAAAATTTGCTCAGCCTGTGGAAGTCTGACATGTATCAACTTGACCCTATCCATCAGTTTAAGGAACAGCTTCCATAAGTCCTGACTAACCCTCCTTAGCTGGAAATTGATGTGTACAAAAGCAAGGAGAATTTATGAGATTGAGAGGAACATGGAAGAACCCCTCCAAAAATGATTTTTAAAAATTTATTACATTAGTCTTCTACACAATAGTTAAATCCTGTTAAATGAACTCAGTTGTACTGCGACAAGGTTCTTTTATCTATATACGTAACAGTTTGTGCAGACAAGCGTGGCTACGTTAACATAAATGAACACAAAAATTAATGCAAAGGTCATCTCAAAAAAAGTTTATTAGCATGATTAAAAAGATGTGCTGAAGAATGACAGTCAGAGATAAAATAACTTCTTAACATGGAAGAATATCCATTCCAACTCTTTATATTCAACAATGTTCTGAACTGAATGGACAGCTTTATTGCCAGTTTTCACTTGATTTATTAAAGAACAATCCATACTGTGTATCGGTTCATGTATCATCATAACTATTTTTTTGTCTGGTTATGATCCCTACTGCAGTTAAGTATAAAAAATATCTTCCATTAATGTTGGAATGCAGACTGCATTGTTGGGCTAAGAGTTGGTAAAAATTCTCAACTGAAGAGTCTGTTTTAAAAAAACTGTCCTTTTTAAAGATACTACAAAGAAATACATTAGTATTTTGGCCTTTAAAATTCTTACATGATATTTATTTAGAATGGCAATCCCAAAATTCCCTCCCATTAAGTAATCATAAATCAGACACCTCTATCAGAGGCTGCTTCTTGGGTTTGACTCTGGAGACTTCTACTTCGTATACGCTTACACCGGCTTGAGGACGAAGACAGCATCATCTAATACATAGTAGTCATTATACATATCACCTTCACATAAGTATGGCAGTCTGGTGAAAGCCTCTATGGCAAAACCAGCTTTTCTGAAAACTTCTGGCAGGCTATTCACCTGTTCTTCCCAAGTCTGCCCCTTGATTTCCAAAACTTCTGAGGGTTTTTCCCACTTGCCACCTACTGAGAAAACAAAACAATTGTATTTAAATTTAAAAAGGATCCTTTTCAATGTATGGCAGTCTCTTAAAGAAAGCATGCTATGCTGCTTACATTCCATTCCAGAGTTTATGATCCACACCAACACACATGGTGGGTAAAGCATTTGTACAGCTTTATCTAAAGACCACAATGTTCAGGGGTCTTGTTTGAGTACAGAGGGGGTTGCCTCCTCCCCAAAGCTCAGAATTTGTTAAATGCTCTACTAATAGTTCTACGTGCAGGCCCACTCGACCAAATAACTATTTGACTCAGAATAGTAAGATCATCTAGTGAAACTAAGATTTGGCAGATGTAGCCTGAGAAACTAAAATCTTGGCCAATATTAAAATGCCTTCTCATACTTCTCTGTCACACTTCCTTGCTGGAACTGGCTTCAATTAGTTATAATAAATAAAGACAGACGCTAACAACCATAATTTGTTATGAATTCTTCAGGAATACTGTGGTCATACTACTAGATAAAAACCAAAATCAATCCTCTAGCCCCTCCCCAAAAAAATCCACCTCAAGAGACTCCACGCCAAACTGGGAAAGAAATCCTAAGTGGGTCCTGTGGAACAGCATCTACAGAACTTCTGCTCATTCAAGGGCCATTTTGGTAAGTGAGAAGAGAAGGATTATTTGTTTAGGGTCCTCCCAAAGAGGAAATGGAGTTCTGTATAACTTTATATAATGGAAAATATATTATCATTTGTTATAGCCAATGAAATCAGAAGAAGCATTTGAGCAATGTAGTAGTTTTAAAATAAAAATAAAAAAATAAAAAAAATCACTCGTTGTCAAAATAGATTTTCACCAATCCCAACTGAAAAATGTAATTGATTATATTTTAAATACATATTGTATCTTTAAGAAATTTACTGAACACAATGTTTAATTCCTGTAAATATATGCAAATAGGAAGGGTCTCAGCATATTTAGGGCATTGTGTAACTCCTAAAGTTTCCTAATTAACTTCCTCTTTTTTTGAGCAGAAACATTTCTGGATAAACACACAAAGAAATGGCACCTTTCAATAAATGCAAAGTCGTGCTAGTGTTGGAATTCAACTGGATTCTATACTATGTTGGTAAGACTTTTTTTTTTCCTCCAACTTACTGTCTTCTTCACCTACTTTAAAAGATTCATATGTATTTCTTACAAATAAGATTGAAAATGCAGTGCTCTCATTTGGAACAAGTCTATAAAATGATAAGAGGGGCAGGAAAAAAATTCTGCTTTGGAGTTAGCTAATTTCTGCTGTCTTCATAAAGTTTCTTAATCAAATGAATATTAATGAAAGATTGTTCTTCCAAAGGATTATACAAAATGCCCTCATAACCTATGACCATCAGACCAAATCCTCTCCCTCTTGCATAGCAGACCCCAGATGCAGCAAAATGGCTCCAGCTCTGCTCTACGGGTTGGTAGGAGGAGGTTTTTGGGAATTCAGTGCATGGTGCCTGCATCAACTGCATGTCACAGAGTTCTGCTCCATAGGGGCACCCTCCAACCCAGTGAACAGTGGGCTCAGGGCAGGGACAGAGAGATTGGCTGGTACAGTACATCCACAAAGTGGCTAATCAATACCTTTCACAGAGTGGGAGTGCAGCAGCTGCTGGGGCTCCTGCAGCCTCAAGGAAGCAGTAATGACCATGGGATGGCTCTGCTGCTGCTTTGTGGCACAGAAAAAAAACGAATGCCTTCTCTCTGTTCCTGTGGCACCCCCATGCACTCAACCTGCCTGCATTTGGTCCACCAGGAGCTCAGACAGTACAGAGATGAAGAGTCACATAAGTATCCCTCCAGACAATATTAAGTAGTAACATTCTATGCTATCCTAACTTTACATTTTTACTGCATTGATTACATACAATACATAATTTGTAATAATCCCAGGTTTGATCAAAGAGATAGGAGTCCACTTCAATTTTTTTTTTTTTTGGTAATTTGTTTGCTAAATACTTTCTAGAAAGTTAAAAAAAAATGTTGGTTTAGCAATCTCATTTCTAGAGTCTCCATTCCAATTATCTACATTTTAGGTATACCTCTACCTCAATAGAACGCTGTCCTCGGGAGCTAAAAAAAAAATCTTACCGCATTACAGGTGAAACCGCGTTATATCAAACTTGCTTTGATCCGCCGGAGTGCGCAGCCCCACCCCTCCGGAGCACTGCTTTACCGCGTTATAGCCAAATTCGTGTTATATCGGGTTGCGTTATATCAGGGTAGAGGTGTATTTAACCATTATTTTGATATAATTATTTTGGCATATTTAACTTTATTAAAGTTATTTATTTCTGTAAGGTCTTGATAAAAAAATGCATTTGTCATAACAGTTATAGTAAACAAAGCTTGTGAGTTGCTGGTGATTCAGTTCCTTAATTTAAGTTCTCTTTCCTGTTTAACCTTCCCTTGCCTTCCTTTTTCTGTATATTGCTTAATTTTTAAATGTCAGTATCAGCAAGTAGCACTGCTGACCTGTGAAACCCATGATCAGTAAGCAATCACATTCATATTTTCCTATGTATATGAAAAATATTAAATAAAGTTCGGAAAGGTATTTGGACCATGAGGCAATCTTGGGACCATCTAAGAAGAAACGTGATGAAAACAACCAAAAGAGGTCCCATGGTTGAAATATCACTGCTTCCCTCCCCCCCCCCTTTGTAAATTCAAGGTAACATTTAATTTGCAACATCCCTTACTCTTAAGTCCTCTCTCATTCAAGTATGTGTTTTTTCTCAACAGGTCATGCTGTAGACACCTGCAAAGTTACCATAAGACAACATCCATTTAAGGAAGTAGACTACAGTGTCGACACTGTGAACATAACATGCAGTTTCTCTGCTTCCGGATGTAAAGGCTCCCCTCAAATGCTATGGTTTCGCTATCGTGATTTTACACATGAGGCTTTGTGTACACCTGGATGCATAGAGAAGTTCGAAGTGATTGGATCACTGTCCGATCAGAAAGTTTTACTTCAAATCAACAAACTGACTGTAAACGACAGTGCCATTTATATCTGTGGAATAGCATATTCAAATTCAGATTCACACACATCTAAGCAAACCGGGGGAGGAACGATATTGGTGAAAAGAGGTCAGTCACTACTTCCTATGAACAATCATAAAAAAATACATTATGTTCTTTTCTAAATATCTCTAATTATTTACACTTGCAAAATATGGTACATTAAGAGTTGACTTGAAACCTTGTTGATCTGTATCAATTTGAAAAGCAAATAAGAACCATGTCATACTCTGGATATGTGTGTGAAAGTCAAACTGACATCAACAGGAGTTCCAGGTGCAGAATGAAGATCAACTAGGGAGATACTCTGTTAACAAAGCTAAAAATCAGCATCTTTGTATGGTTTACTAACCAGATGCTGTACTATCATATGATGTAAGTGACCCTTCAGAGATGTTCTATAGTAATCCAGGAGACTGGATGCTGTATTTTCCTTTTTGTTAACTGTCAAAACTGAACATACAAATACTCCATGTCAAGCTTCATGGAGTAAAACAAGTAAATGGCTTCTGTTGAGAAACTGCCATATTCAGGGGGGACTGTGTCTAGCAGTCAGAGCAGGATCCTGGGCTGATTCTCTGCCACTGATTCATTGTGTGAACTTGAGCAAATCATTTCACTTTGGTGTCTTAGTATCTCTACATATGTAACAAGGATTAAGATATTCACAGGGATGAGGAGGCTTAATTAACTACATTTTTGGTTACATGTGCTACAATAACAAGCTCTAGACATATGTACAAAAGTTAAAAAAACCCCTAACTAATGGACTCTTTTCTCCCCCAACCAAGTTCCACATTCTCCCTACATTCATCCCACCACCCACCCTGCTAAAGTCTGAACAAACACATGAGCCTTCTTCAGACTTGTTCCTTAAAAGTTAGATTTTAGACCAGTAGAGGGCTATGTTGGGAAGAAAACAAAATCCCAAATCAAAGGCTCTCCAATCCCTAGCTGTTTGAATCTAGTGACCCTCATTATAGAATAGAATATCAGGGTTGGATGGGACCTCAGGAGGTCATCTAGTCCAACCCCCAGACAGATTTTTACCCCAGTTCCCTAAATGGCCCCCTCAAGGATTGAATTCACAACCCTGGGTTTAGCAGGCCAGTGCTCAAACCACTAAGCTATCCCTCCTTAAACAACTATCCCAGTTCATGGGGAGAAAAGAGGTCTCCTACAGTCAAGGACCAAGATGGAAATTAACACCAGGAATGACTAAAATGAGAGAGAGTGTGTTTGTAGCTCTGAGTTCCTCAGATGAGAGTGGTTATAAAACAAATATTCTTACTAAGAATATGATCAAAATAGAACAGGTTCCTATTATTCTAACATTTTTTTATTATGACTGAAGGGTCTGAGAAGTACAGCACTGAAGAATACATCCCCATGATAGTCCTCTCATCTTTTCTGTTTCTATACAGCACTACCCTATTGGCAATCTTTATATTCTACAAGGTGGGTTTAATTTTGACTTTTCTTATTTGGTTGTTTTCATCCTGACATCTCAATAGCTTTAATGTTTTCAACAGGATCCAAGGGTCATCACGGATTTTAATTACTTTTGCATCACAGATGGCAAACGAGTTTTACAGAGGATGTGGTTGATGATTACATCTCATATGCATCTGCAAACTCTCACACACAGATTCAGATTAGATACTCATTACATCTCACACACATCACTTACTGATTTTTTTTATTTTATTTTTTTTAAATAAAGGAGAGTTTCAAGGGAAAAGCAGCAGAAACCAAACTATCCTTGGAACAATTTACAGCAACTTTGGTATATATTGCCAGAAGTCACTTTGCAAACAAGACTCAGACTATCAAAAATACAAAAAAAGGATGAGAAGATTAAAATATTTTGAAAGAAAAATAGTTATCGAATAAAGAGCATTACTACCAAATACACAGATTGCAAGCTCCATGGATTAATTTCCATTGGTAAACTAATAATGAAATTTATATAACACTAAATGCAAGTGCAATGAAATTATTTCAAGCAATACTCTTACTTACATAGTGAATTCCTATTCAAAATATTGTAGGATGCATGGAAAAGGGAGTTGGAGGAGGGTTACAGGGCATCTTAAACTTGGAAAAGCTCCCCCAGAACCAGAGAGAGGAGGTGTGCATGTTTAAAATGCGCCCAGTTACTGAAGACACTGACATTGGTCTTTATTAAGTAAGTGTGGTGGTTGTTTGTGTGTTTTTGTTTTTAGAACAATCATCAATATTTGGAACCCTTAAATGAACACGATAAATAATGAGATATCCCTAAATGTTATGAGCAGGCAATACATTTTGCTACAGTACCTCTTCAGTTATTATTTGGCATGGAGAGTTATGTATATAAAGTTGACTTTTGTTTTGCAGTCAAAATCCAAACTAGTAAAGAAAACCAGGAAAGGAGACGTGAAAGGAGAGCACCATGTATGTTAATTTTCACTTAACTTGTCTTGGGTGTCTTTGATTCATAGATTTTTTTTTGTTTTTTAAATATAACCTTGAACACATCTGGGGACATTAAATTGGCTAATTGAAGTCTCAGACAAAGAGGTTACGGGGACTGGAAGTATACAGAGCTCAAACTGTAGATGTAAGTGATTAAGGGCTCCAGTGCCGAAGATTTATAGAAAACTATTTGCTGAATTTAGAATCAGAGATTAAAGCCGAGAAGGGATACATCACACGCCACCACCACCACCACGCCACTCCCACATCAACCCCAACAACTAGAATTATATCAAAGTATTACATACTTCAGGAGACTAGACTGTTGTGTGCCACAGGCAGAAAACAGGAGAGACCAAGGTGCACCAATGTCCAAGCCCCCAATAATGGCAGGAATTGATTAAGCGAGATATGCCCAGATGATCTAGCAAGTGATCTGTGCCCCAAACTTTAAAGTTTCTGTTCATCGGTCCTTTTTGGCTAATTGGACAGTGAGAGCTATGCTAAGGGCCACCTCCAACAGAAAACTTCCTGTCTTAAGTAATGGCTTTTCAGTAACACCGAGATTACAAGTAAACCATGTTTGAACTATAGTTAAAAAGCCAACTTCTGTCATGCAACCGATTATTCCTGGTCCCTTGGATGGTGGCTTTGGCTTTAGATGGGTTCCACCATACTTAAATCCTGTTTAGAATATGTACTGCAACACCCTCTTGAAAAAAAAATTCCACAAGTTAAAGGAGGAATTTAACTTTGACAGTAAGAAATCATTACTGTTCTACAGCCAGGGCCCCTTTTGGCTGCGAAACTTACTGTTTTGAAGTTGTGGTGACATCTTGATTACATTTTAAAACGTTAAAAAAAAAAAAATACAAAGATATAAATAGAGGCAAATGCATTTTTCCAAATCTGTCTCGAATATAAAATTGTTGTTAACCACATTTTAATCTGCAGAAAAACACGAGTGGGCGAACAGTTTGTCGAGCAATTGTACAAGAACTGTACAAGAAGAGATATGCTGAAGACCATCATCAGCCTGTGAGTAACGAGTAACATGAAAAGGGGGGTTCCAAAATCTTGTGGCTATTTACTGTAGTTCATTGTATGTGGAAAAAGGGAGAAGCAAATTTAAAAACTGTATTACATTTTCTACAGAACTGGACTTCTTCACTGTCTGAGCGCCAGGATTGGCAAGATTCAGTCCTGAACCAGCAATAGCTTTTCTATACTTTCAAGTTTCAGAAGTCCAATACTGTCCAATACTGTGCATCCCAGCAGGCTTAAACTGGGATCTACATACTGTTGGGGAGTGGAGATACCCCTCTTTCCAAAGGGATTTTGAACTCATTTTATGTCTGAGAAGGCCTGAAATGCCAGACTTTAAAACAGGGGCAGGCAAACTTTTTGGGCTGAGGGCCGCATTGAGTTTCGTAAATTGTACGGAGGGATGGTTAGGGGAGGCGGTTGTGGCCCGGCCCCCACCGCCTAACTGCCCCCCGGGACTCCTGCCCCATCCAACCCCCCGTTCCCTGACGGCCCCCCCATCCACACCCTCCCTGCTCCATCCACACCCTCCTGCTCCCTGTCCCGACCGCCCCTGGACCCCCGCAGCCCCATCCAACCTCTCCTCTCATTCCTGACTGCCCCCAGAACCCCTGCCCCAGACTGCCCCCTGCTGCCCCATCCAACCCCCCCTCTCCTTCCTGACTGCCCCCCAGGACCCCTGCCCCCATTCAACCCCCTGTTCCCCCCCAACCCCTATCCACACCCCCGCCCCGACCACCACCCCAAATTCCCCTGCCCTCTATCCAACCCCCCCACTCCCTGCCCCCTTACCGCGCTGCCTGGAGCACCAGTGGCTGGCAGCGCTACAGCCGCGCCACCCGGCTGGAGCCGGGCCACACCACCGCCGCCGCCACCACGGAGCACAGAGACTGGATCAAGCCGGGCTCTGCAGCTGCGCTGCCTCAGGAGCTCACAGCACCGGCGGTGGAGAGAGAGCTGAGGAGAAGGGGGAACAGCAGGGGAGGGGCTAGGGGTGAGCCTCCTGGGCCATGAGCTTGGGGGCCGGGCAGGATGGCTGTGGCCCACGGGCCGTAGTTTGCCCACCTCTGCTTTAAAGCCATGACATATTTTAGGTATAGAAAAGCATTGCAGTTCACTTTTGGAGGCATATAATTCATTTTAATTTCTCTCCCCCTCTGAGCAGTGGATGGTTGGACCCAAGGTAATGAAGGCACATGGCTTTACAAGTGGAGAGAGTTACAAAAATAGTTCCAATAAAGTTTTTTAAAAATTCAAACATTCCTAAAACAATTATTGTAATATACGCAGCATATACAGAATACTTCATGGTATTGTATAAAAGAATGAAAGTTATTTCATCCTCCCAAACTTATAACCATTATTTTTAACCAAACCATAGTATATTTTACATATGCCATGTAAGTTACAGGAGAACCATTGTAGAAACACACACACACACACACACACACTTTTAAGTTAAGAAAACTATTCTTGAATCCACACCGCACAAGCAATACAGCTCCTTTCTTATTCTAATCAGGGAGCAGAACATATACTTCCCAGATGAAATACAAAAATGAAATAGACATTCAGCACTGACAGGTGCCTGCCCTCCCACAAAACTTGTATTTTAATGTTCATATCCCTAACAGTTTTCCCTCTATAACTGCCCTCCATAAAGCCATCAAACCCCTACTGATGTAATCCAGGACCTGGCAGATGTGGGCAGAGACATAATATAAACATGACTGTCCTGCTGGCTCTCTGTGCTCCCCTGGGGCTCTCTGTGCTCCCCTATTCAGTATAGTCAACAGTGAATGAAAAAGGTTAAGAATCCTGCAGATGCCACAGGTATGAAGGCATCTGGATAACGGACAGAAGGAAGGGGGAAGTATTCTTCAGCAGTAGCAAAGGAAAGGAACTTTGCCCCACTGAGGAAATCTTTTTACAAAGCAAATTATTACACAAACATTGTAGCCTTTTACATTTTTTTTTTTTGCAGGAGTGTTTGGAACCAGATGACACCATCTATCAAAACAGATGATAAAATTCAAAGTACACCACATACTCAAGATCCTTTATGTGAAATATAACTGAACATGTCTGAGACTTCAAACATTAATTTTCTGAAAGAGTCTTACCTTGCTAAAAAAGATGAATCCTCACTGAGTAGTGCTTTTTTTTAAAAAGTGTTTTGCAAATAGATTATCAAACACAAATGACAGAATTCCAGTTAAAGTGTGAATATTAACATTACCAAACCCTCTCCCTCTGAAAAATAAAAATATTGGAAAAGGACTTTATTTTCCATTGAAGAGCTACTAATACTTCATGGACATTTTCATATTTAGGATTAGTTCTACATATACGGTATTTTTTTTTTAAATTCTTTTGTGAATTTAATGCTTCTGAAAGGTTTGTGATAGGCAGATAAAGAAAATGAAGCCTTGAGGTAAAATTCTGCTCTCAGTTATTTACATTGCTGTAAATCAGCTATAACTACCACTAATGTCAATAGTAATTCAGGATTTACATCAGAGTAAGAGCAGAATCTGGCTGGCTGTACACAGAACAGGTACAAAAAATAGGCAATAAAAAAGCATACACACTAATGTAATGTCAAAGCTGATCCAGAGGGACCATATCGTGGGTTAGGAAGGTAGCTTAGTCTACATGTCAATCCAAGGACTACTCTTCTTTCAATGTTTATATTTGTGTGTTATGCAGACAATATCCCCAAGTGCTAGCCGGAAGCAGTGCCTTGTTCCCCACTAGAACGACACCCAGTCTCTACATGGGCATGGAGGGGATTCCATGAACCCTCTCCTCCTTCTCTTTGTGCATCTGCACGGAGCTGGGCACAACTGAGACTGCTGGACTACAGTTAGTTCTCACTTAGTTAATCTGCGCACCTCAAGAGTCTTATAAGATACCTGCTGGTCTCACCCATCCTCTCAGCAAAGAGTTAATGGTGTTCAGTAGTGAGGCCTCATCTAACATTTTGCAATTTAAGAACTGCCAGACTGGAGCAAAGCAGAGATCTATCTAGTCCAGTGTTGCCTACATAGGCAAGTACTAAATATTTCAGAGGAAGGTAAAAAATGCACAAAAATCCACATTACATAATTGACAAATATAGAACAACATGTCTAATAAACTTTCTTCCTAATCCCAAGCAATTAATGGCTAGCTGCTTCTCTCTTCAAGCATGGTATCTTATACATTTTTATTCTAGTAACTACAGTTATTCTTATTTGTATAAATATCAAATCCTTTTTTAGACCCTAAGCTTTTTGCCTCAATGATATCACATAGTGAGTTTCACAGATTAATTAGATGAGAAAGCATTTCTTTATATTAAACACTCATTACAGAATACCTACTAGTGAAGTATAAATATAAAGTACAAATGGACAGAGTATGTTTTGTAATGCAGTATGATTAACTTATTAGTAAGATTTCTGCTTGTCAATTCATAAAATTCGGAACTCCACAATAACATTGTGTTAGGGTGAATTAGTGAGGTTTTACTGTACGTTGGAAAATAAAAACAAAGGTGTATTTCTCTCAAACTCTTTGGTAATAACTTATGAATAAGCTACTTTGGACTCTAAATGTCATTGTAATTCCAGAAACAGTTGAAAGTAACATTTGTTTTGTTTCTCAGAGTTTTACAAGAACATTTGTATAGGTCGTTTAAAAAAATTAAGAACAAGGAAACAGAGGCTGTGTCAAGCATAGCAGAGTATAATTCTCATTAACAGTATAGTTAAATTATTCTATTTTCAGGCTCCAATCCTGCAGTTGGATCCACACATAGGCTGACCCCTGTGCTTACATATTGCTCCTCTGAATCAGAGCTCACATCTGTAAAATAATAAAAGACTTTTCTAAAGGGGGTTTAAAACTCTTTAGTACAGTAATTGAAATACATGCTTTCTAGGATCTTCCACATGTTCCAAGTATTTGTTCTTGCTTACAGTGTACATATAGTGAATTCATTCTTTGCTTCTTTTTACATATCATGTTGTAAAATAATAAAAAGTTTTGATATTTTAACTACAAAATTTAGAACACCACTTGGTCTGACACAGAGCTTTTTGCATGGGATACAAATGTCAGTTTTTCCAGGAGAGTAGGTTAGACGGTTCAACGGGGAGAGTTTTAGTGGAGTATCTTCTGTTGATATGGATTTAAATTATTCTATAAAAAGTTGTGTACAAGTCTGGAGTTCTGGACAGCCAGATTTACAAAATGGAATGAAAAAAAAAATCTTTGGAATGTGGGGAACCACCACTACATATAGTGGTGACCCCAGACTGTCATAATGGCATCTCTCTTTAAACAGAACCACAGACATCTGAGTGAATCAAACAGAACAATAATGTTATTTGAAATTAAGTTAATCAGATCAATTAAGGAAGTCAGATTCTTTTTCTGTGCTTGACATTTTAACTCAACTAAATATGTACAATGACATGATTCAAAATATTGACCTGGCCAGGATGGGACAGGGGATTGGGTTGACATTTAAGTGATTATATAGTTTATGGTTAGTTTGCCTCTTAAAATAGACAGTTAAATTGAAATTTAAGACTAATTCTATTTTAAAGATCAGCTTTACATTAAAGCCATTGTTCTTTGTCTACTCTGCAAAAGGCCTAAGAATCTAGTGGTCCTGCTTGGTGCTTGCCTGATTTGATTATCTGAAACCACATACATAAGAGGTTCTTCTTTCATCTGGATTTAGTAAGAAGTTTGTGGTTATTTAATTGCTGAAAAGATAGAAGGCATTTCTTGTTAGAAGTTTGTCCCAGCAGTTTGCATAATTTGAAGGTACCAAATTCAACTTTTAGAACATAAAGGTCAAAATTAACCAAATGCAATGGTTGCTTCACTATTAGCATCTCCATTCCCTCAAGCAAAAAAAGTGCTCTTTACTTATTTGCTATTGGTCAATGTCTCATCAAAAATTGCTTTTAAATACAATTAAAATACATTGAGAACCAGGCACGCTCAAAACTTAGAGACAGATAATTACTTCTTTAAAAATATCCAGATGTACATATATACCAGTGGAGATATCCACTTTCAGATAGACAAAACTGGAATATAAAAGTGCTGCTGATAGCCTGTCTATAGCAGTGGGTAATAAACATGCTGGTCTGTTTCGAGATAAACCAGGGTTCCCAAACTTGGATTGCAGCTTGTTCAGGGTAAGCCCCAGGCAGGCCGCAAGACTCTTTGTTTACCTGAGCGTCCGCAGGTACGGCTGCTCGCAGCTCCCAGTGGCCGCGTGGTTCGCCGTTCCTGGCCAATGGGAGCTGCGGGAAGCAGTGGGCAGCCCGCCAGGCGCTTACCCTGAACAAGCCGCGAACCAAGTTTGAGAGCCCCTAAGATAGACACTGCATAACTGGAGCAGCCTTCACTGATAAGGGCTTACCAAAGCTATCATGACACACCACCCTGCAGGCCACACAAGATCACCAGGGAAAGCATTGTGATCTGATCTGAGATTAGAGAAAAGAAGCAACAACAAAGCAAGGGAGATGGAGCTGTCTGAAACAAAATGTCTGGTTTGCCACAGGTCACCAGCACAAGCAAAGCTTCTTTCTGGTTTACAAGATGCCATACAGAAGATTCCTACCCCTAACAAGAAATGTCTTGAAGTTCCATATGCAGCGAACATGTTTTCAAGTCCTAGTGGCTTATTAGTCCAATAGCCAATTCTCTTTTCACTAGATACTAGAGAATTGAACCATGAGAAAGTAAAAGTGGATTCCTCAAATTTGTCTCTCTCTCTCAGTTCCTCCAACATCTGCTATGCTGGAAAGTTGCATTAATTTTTTTTTCAATATTGTTGCCTAAACATGATGCAGGACTCAGAGAGGAAAATGCAGGAAAGCAGGTCGTGGATGGATTAGTGATTGCAAAACAGAGACATTGAATTTAAGTGTATAATTAGAAGGTACACAAGAAACAAGATAATATACAATCACTGTATATCACAGACTTTGCTTACATTGTTTCAACAGGGGTTGGGTTTTTAGAAGTGCTGAACACCCACTCTCTGAAAAATCAGGTCCCAGAACTAAGGTACGTAAAACCACTAGTAACTTTTAAAGATTTAGGCCATGATGCTCATATTCATTGAGGGAGAAATCAGATATATTTGAAAAGTGCTCTCAGATTCTTCTCCAAAACTCAGACAAGAGGATAAAAGTTAATGATCAAACATGAACTCCAAAAGAGATGTGCTGGATCATTTAATATATAGAGTAAAACAAACACAATCAGGTACTTATACATATCAGTAATTCTATTTTAATTACTACTCACTCCTATGAATTTCTAGATGCAACTGAAGTCACTGAAGTATAGCACTGTAAACAGTTTGATCCTAGCTGCCCAAGAGACATCTCACCCTATGCACTACTGCACAGCAAGATCAGTTAAAGTGCTCTTGTTCACAGTATCTAGATCTGGATATCTGGGATTGCTTGTACCATGAATTCAGTGGAGGTTCCTTGTCTGGAATTTGCTTCCCCCATTGCTCCAACAGAGCCCAAGCATGGCAGCCTTCAGGATATGGTATAGGACCCATACACTTGTTCAGTCTTTCACTGGTGGTAGTGAATGAAGGGGGGAGGGGCAGTGAACAGTTTCAGTCCAAGTGGGGCCATCTACTTACAGTATATGTTTTATGTACAATTCTAAGAATTTTGAACATGCAATTAAGAGATATTGATCAGCACATTTTAAAAGTCTGATAAATAATACTGTCCAATATAATTTTATAATTCACAACACTATAACCTAAAACACCTTTCCCCTATCTCCCCAAGTATCTTTTAATCTGTGTCTACTTACCATTTTCCACATATGGATGAAAGGGCAAAACTAGTGCAAGAATGACTCTGCCTCTAGTTGGCTCCAATACACTTCTAATATCTTTTAATACAGTCAGTGGCTGATCACAGCGATCAAGCAAATTCAAGCAGCTGATAACATCATACTGGAATCCTGTGTTCTGCCATTCATTTATACCCAGCACTCTAAAAAGAGAGAGAGAGATGGAAAGCGTTACAGGTAAACAACTGCAGGCTGAGTGCAGAGTTCTCAGTACACAGCCTGCCTATAGCAATTAGGAGAAGGAGAGAATTCCCTACAGCTGAGGCTGACCTTACCTTTAACAGACACTCCCTTTATACTGAGAGCACATAGGGCTTGTCTACACGGGGAACTTAGTTCGCACTGAGGGAATACACACGGATTGGTGTGCAATACATAAGCCACACTAAGAGCACGCAGATGGGGGTTGCTGTGCCCTCTTTTAATTTGCATCATGTGTACACAGCAGGAGCTGGATGTGCACTAAGCATGCAGTATACTGGGTGGGTATCCCAAAATCCTTTGCTTCGATGCTGAGCTGTGTGCATTCTGGGATTTTTCTTGCTGAGCATTGTGAGATGCATAGCAGAAGCCAGGGGAATTCTGGGACTTGGGGTGTCAAACTCCAAAAAATCCCATGCTTTTGCTTCTTCCATTCCATATTTCCCCTCTTTCTGGGTGAGCTAGCACCATTTTTGAATTGCTGTCAGCCAGCAGGGATGCAAGAATGCTGTGAATTGCTGTGCTTGTAGCTGCAATTTGCAAACACACAGAGACTCCATCTAAACTCTCAGAGCCAGGTGGCTTCAGTTTTGGAAGCCAACGGTGGCACCTGCAGTAGCACCAGCAGGTGGAGAAGGACGATGATGATAATGATGACACTGAGGAAGAAGAGGTTACTTACCTGGTACAGTAAATGAGTTCGGCGAGATGTGTCCCCCTATGGATGCTCCACTTGAGGTATTCATGTGCCTCTGATCAGGTTTTTTCGGCAGCTTGTTTGGTCCACATGTGCCCTAGCCATCCTCATGCCCATACTGAGGATATATAGGTCGGCGAGAGACAAACTGCTCTCAGTTTCTTCTCTATCACAATTGTCCCATGAACATGAGACTCCAAAGCAGAGGGGAAGGAGACCAGGTAGTGGTGTGTCCCTATGGCTGCTCATCTCAAAGAACTCCAGTTACCATAAAAGGTAAGTAACCTCTCCACGTATCCCTATGGGTGCTCCATTTCAGGTGACTAGCACTATCCTCTGAAAGAAGTGGGAGCTTTGAAACCTACCTAGAACTATTTGTAGAACTGAAGAACCAAACACTGCATCTACTCTAGAGGTGTGCATGAAGGCATAAAGTTTTAAGAAGGTGTGAACTGATGTCCGTGTAGCCACTTTGCAGATTTCCATAATAGGAACATCTTTCAGCAAGGCAAAAAGACATACACTGAGATGTGGCAGAGTGGCTACTACCCTAGGTGGGCATGGCACCTTAGCAGCTGCACAGCAGAAGAGGATGCAGCCAGAAACCCAATTTAGAAAGTCTCTAGGTGGACACTGGTGTTCCTTTAGCTCTATCTGTGATAGAGAATAGTCTTGGAAAAATTCTAAAAGGCTCGGTCCTCTCCAAATAGTAAACTAGCACCCTCTAATGTCTAAAGTATGAAGGGCAGCATCTTCCCTAGTCTGATGGGATTTAGGATGGAAAACTGTGGATGAACAGTCTGATATGTAAATTGGAGACTATTCTGGGTAGGAACCATGGGTGGTTGGAGGGATACGTTCTCCTTGAAGACCATATAAGGCAGATCAGCTATCAAAGCCCCTAATTCATCAACTCTTTGAGTGGAGGTAATTGCCACTAGAACAGCTGTTTTCATGGAAAGGTTTAGAAATGTACAAGTAGCTAGTGGCTCAAAGGGAGCTTTCATCAGAGAATTAAGAATTAAGTTCAAATCTCAGGTCGGGGTGAGCTCTCTGACATTTAGGAAGAGTTTCGATAACTCTGATGAATCTGGAAGTTGCAGAATGAGCAAATACCAAAAAACCTTCCACGGGAAAATGAAAAGTTGTGATGACCACTAGGTGGACTTTATTGGAGCTTTAACAAAAGACCTCCTTTCTTCAGAGTGAACAGGATTTCCAGGACCTCCAAGATGGGTGAGTCAACAAGAGATAGGCAAAGATAGGTGTAACAGTGGTAAAATCTCTTCCATTTCCGAAGGTAAATTTTCCTGGTAGATTCCTTTCTTGAATCT